TAAATATATATTTATTTATATATATATATATATATATATATATATATATATATATATATATATATATATATATATATATATATATATATATATATATATATATATATATATATATATATATATATATATATATATATATATATATATATATATATATATATATATATATATATATACACACACACACATATACATATCTTGGTTGTATTTTTTTATTGACAGTTATCTGCCACAAAATGTCAAACATTTTGCCGGTTCCTTAGAATGCAACTACTGTGTTAGGGGAGAGCTTTTCTCTTGAATTTAAAAGGCTTTTTCATTGTAGGAAAACTAACAAATTGCCTACAGTTATCTTTGGTGAGATGGGAAGCATACAAATTTGATAAATGAACAAACTGAACTTACCTCACTAAGGTGGGTCTTTAGCTCCTGGTTTTTTCTATAAACTGGGGTGTCCAGAACCACAGAGTATTTGTCTTGCATTTTCTTTGCAGCATCAGTGTAGACATAATGAGACTACCAAAAAAAAGTAGATTTAAAACATTAGTTTTAAATATATTTATACTACAGGTTTATTTCTGAGCCATTTATTATGGAGATTAAAGTGGCATATATGTTTGATTAATTAATTAATTGATGTTATATTGATCTTATGTTAAAAATATTAAACTTTGCCTTTTAGTTATTCTTATCTTTTAATTAAAGAGCAAAAAATAAATACTTCTAGTATTCATGGTTGCCAGGAGGAAAATGACATACCCAGAGCTTGCGTAAATGCCGTGAACGGACCATATCCGGAGTATCGTACAGGAAGCAGCCCAGACCTTTGAGCCATTGTAGATCACTTTTGTATTTAATCTATCAAATAAAGACATTGATTGACTATAGCTTTTCCATCTCAGAGTATATATTTCACATAAATCAATAATCTTAAATAGTTTGGGAAATCACAAAGATGCTATTGAAAAATTGGTCTAATGCAGTTATGGGGAAATTATAATTTTCCATATGTTGCTTGATTCTATTCTAAGCAATCCCAGCCAGCATAGCCAAGACTGATGAGTATTGTAGTCCAAAATCTTGAAATCCACATATTTTCATAGGAGTACCCCAAAGCAGCTGCACTTGATATAACCAAAAAACCCTGCTCCATATTCATTTGTTTATTTGTTTGTTTATTCATGAATGAATGAACAAACGAACGAACGAATGAATAAAAATTCTTTTGGTTGCCCTCTCACTCTCAGTGACTCTGGGTGGCTTACAAAACTAAAAAACCCAATGTATAAACAATAAAAACAATAACCCTCCCAGCCCCCCTGGTGACAACAATCAACCAAGCAAGCCATTTGATGGGCTCCATCCCACTCTGGATTCCCTAGTCCCATTGGCAAAATCAGGTCTTCGGGGCCTTGCATAAGAGTGTCAGAGTGGGGACTAATCTAATCTCCTCAGGGATGATGTTCCAAAGGGAGGGAGCCACCACTGATAAAGCCCTTCTTCTGGGTTCCACCAGATGTACCTCCTTAGAAGAGGGAACCTACAAAATTCCCTGCCTCCCCGCTCTGCTGGGTCAGGTAGACATTACTGGGAAAAGAGGGTCCTTTAGATAACCTGGTTCCAAGCATGTAGGGCTTTAAAAGTGACAATTAGTACCTCGAATTGGGCCCAGAAGCAGATATATGTTCTGTTTACTGGCTGTAATTCATTTTAATAAATTCTTTTTAGGGAGAGAAACCATTATTACAAAAAATATTTTATATTACCATAGGCCCTAATATTTGTTGCAACCCATCTATAGGTATTCATAGCAACTTATTCTAAATTTTTAAAAGAAATTTTCTTACATCGCTTGTAATTTCTCCAACATAACGGTCGTGTACAGTTTGTGGAGTAAATGGTAGGGAAATCAAGTGTCCTTGCATCTTGAAGAAATCAGTCTTGTAGATAAGCTAAAATAAAGAGAGAAGAAGAATAAGATTCTCCCCTCCCAGTGAAATCAAACTCAACACAAATTGTGCATCTAATATAAATAAAATATGCCTACATCACTGAAAGCGTCTTGGTTTATTTTCACTTGGCGATTGTGTGGCGTATCAGGTGTAGTATGAATCTTATCTTTATTTTTGTGATATACCTCCCGATACATTCTCTGTAACAAAAGGAAAGAGATTTTTAAAAAATTAAAATTAAATCTTAATCTATTTTGCACACTATTTCCTTAAAGAGCACTTATTCCGGTCATTTGAATAGATAGAACCAATCCACAAATGCTAAATAATAAACATATGAGTTAGCTATACCACTTAAATTAATACAGGTAGTCCTCAACTTACAACAGTTCATTTAGTGACCGCTCAAAGTTACAATAGCACTGAGAAAAGTGACTAATGAACGTTTTTCACCCTTACAACTGTTGCAGCATCTCCATGGTCATGGTTGTTGTGTTCCAAAGTCATGTAATCACCTTTTGCAATCTTCTTACAAGCTAAGTCAATGGGGAAGCCAGACTCACACTACTAACGTAACAACTGCAGTGATTCACTTAAAACTGTGGCAAGAAAGGTTGTAAAATGGGGCAAAATTCACTTAACAAATGTTCCACACAGAAATTTTGGGCTCAGTTGTGATCATAAATTGAAGACTATCTGTATTAAAAGTAATAGAATATTCATGGAGCTCCATGCTCAAAACAGTTGCTTTATAGCAAGCAACAATTTGAGAGAAAGCAGTTTATCATTCCTACTTTGTATCTTCTTACCTGGGTCCTCTGGCCATTTCAGGTGTAATTTATTATTTTCTTTATTTATTTATTTTTTTAAAAACCACCTTATTTTAATGCTCAGATCCCATTTCTGTTATGTATGTAGATTATCAAAATGTTTACTTGACTGTTATTTTCATCAGGTTATCTTTCTATGAGATAAAAAGTTTGTGACTGGACAACATGCTCTCCATACAACTCCCTGTGGTGCCCTTCCTCCCCACAAAATTTATAACACATTCCCAACCATTCAGACAAACCTAAAACATTTACTACTTCAGTCAATGAATGCAT